ACACCCATTAGACATTATTGTACAAATTAAATAAAAAGTCCATCCCATGTGTTAGTAAAAAAAAAATTATTTTAGGCAAGAAATTAGTTTTTAAATTTGGATATTTTTTCTGGGTTGGGACCCCCAGACACCCTGGAAGATTTGGTCCCCCCCAATGTTGACCCATGGCTACGGCCTTGCATTTGCTCGCTAAGCTTCCACTCCTCACTCACAACTCACTCCGATTGTTATCCCGAGCTCACCACCACGACCCCCCCCCCCCTCCCTCTTCACATTCTCATCACATGGCTATCACGCATTCACCCCCATTCATTCAATCCATTCGTCATCGTTATCGTATCCTGTCATCGCTTTCACCGAATTCACGCATCATCATCACAGATTCGCCCCCATTGCTTCCTTTCATCCATTTCATTCTCATCTCCAAAAACACAAAGAACCCCCGTATAGCCTCACCAGACTGTTAGGGCAAGTGCTGTTAGCTAGCACCTATAAAGGTCAGAACAGCACACGAGGGGGTGGGCGGCCAGTACCACGCTCGGCTGCCTTTGTCTCCCGAGTGGCGATGTTGACACCGCACCAGGTACTCATTTGAGGCTGAGTCGACCTAGGGGAGGCCCAGGACCGGTTCAGACATTCGTCACCGGTGTTGGGCCGTGAGCAGGACTCGAACTCGCTGGCGCCGGGTTCGTAGCGCAGCGTAGCGCCCTCACCGCTACACCACCGCTATTTTATCAGAGTGCTTTATGCCAACCGTTAAGACGAGAGATGAGTATCAAGACTTCCTTTTCAGGAGGCTCCTGCCAGCTCCCCGCAGTAGCGGATGGGTGCAATCATTACTGCCGTTCTCACGATGCCGCGTAATATTTGAGTAACTCGGTCGTTGTGAGTTTTGTTTGTCTCTCTCTCTGTCTGTCTCTCTCTATGTAGATGGCGGTGTACATAACGAGAAAAAAGATGCTGGAGGGTGACACTGACGGCTGCTCTGTGCTTCCAGTGTTCAGAGGCCTGCTTAAGGCGCGGCTCCGGCTGGAGCACGCCATGTACCACACACATGTTGGTGATGTGCACGTCTTCTTCGAACGCTGGAGCCGGAAAAGCCCCTCTCTGTACCAGCGTGGACGGCACCCTCGTGTTCACCTTCTGAAGCGCTCGCTCGTCACCGTGGCGTGCGCGATGACACCACCACCACGTGCCCTTTTCTTTTGTATTGTGCGCGGTGCTTTCAGCGCCACAGCGCGTCGATTTGTAGCGTTTGTTTTCTTTTGTTTGCTGGTGACTTTGTGCATTTCATATTGAAATCGCCTCCAGTGATTTTGCTGCTGGCGGCAATAAAAGTTGTTTAAAAGTCAAAGTCTCTATGTATCTCTCTATGTCTCTCTTTCTGTCTCTCTGTTTCTCTTTCTGCGGCTCCGACTGGAGCACGCATACCACACACATGCCGGTGATGTGCACGTCTTCTTCGAACGCTGGGGAGCCGAAAAAGCCCTCTGTACCAGCGTGGACGGCACCCTCGTGTTCACCTTCTGAAGCGTGCGCGATGACCACCACCACGTTACTTTTATTTCGTGTTGTGCGCGGTACATTTAGCGCCACAGAGCGTGGATTTATAGCGTTTATTTTCATTTGTTTGCTGATGACTTTGTGTATTTCATATCGGAATCGCCTCCAGTGCTGTTGCTGCTGGCGGAAATAAAAGTTGTTTAAAAGTCAAAAGTCCGTCTCTGTCTCTGACGCTCTGTCTCTCTCCAAATTTGAACCGTCGGATGTCTGGCCCACAACGGGCCTTGCTCCCGCGAATGGCGTCATGGGACCACTCAACGTGCTGGGCTCGCGGTTTACACTTTGACTCGGCGCCTCGAGCGCAGAGCGCGGATTTGACTCTGCGCGACCCCCTTCACTGGATTCCAAAACCGCGACACGTTCTGGCGCGACATGGGCCGGCGGAACAAGCGCCGCTCCTTTGCCACTGGGTCCCGTCGATGTCTTCACGTCACGTTGCCCGCCTCGCCACAATGAGCACGCGAACGTACCTAGCGGAATCCGCATTTGTTTACACTGCAGGAGGAATCCGGCGAGCTGTTGAAGCGCCCTTTCCCGCAGGTGTCCAGTCGGGGCACGGGGTCAGAACGTTACAAAAGTCACGGAGAGGAGCGCAAAGTACAAGAAATGTAAACAAATCACCCAAACGCATACAAATTCAACATTAAACCATCCCCATCCTACCAGGCAAAGCCCACTGAGGTGTGTTCACTTATTTGTCAGAAGCGACGTGGCCATCACAAATGATAGCGCATCAAAGTGGCCCATCATCTGGACATGTATAGCAGCAGAATTATCTAAATAATCTCAATCTCGTGTTTCTAAACGTGGAGGGGAAAACCGGAGGACCCGGAGAAAAAAATCCACGCGACCACGGGCAGAGAGAGAGAGAGACACCGCAAACTGAAAATAAACAGCAGCAGGTGTCAGGGTCGGGATCAAACCCACGACCTCCTGCATACCAGGCGAGGTAGTTAACATTTACACCTCCCATCAGCACCGCGATGACCTTTTGGGAATGAATACATTCAGTAGCATTCATTCAGGACGAGCACAAGTGCGGAAATGTTTTGACGCTGACATTGTCTCGTCAGTGAAAGCCCTGCTTGCTGTGGGGCCAATCTCTCTCTCTAAATCACAGCAAGGCCTCACACTCACAAGGACCATTCTGTACGATCTCTCGCCCGGCAACATTCCAATTAAAACATCGGCAATTATAGTTGTTCTTTAGGGGGGGCTGGCGCCTGTCATGCGAATGTGGAGTTTCCACCGTGCTTTGGGGCTGCACGTGGAGATGAGCGATGTCGTTCGTTGTCGTGCATCTGTCCTCATAACCATCATCACACCATCACATGTCCCATCGTCACCATCACACGATAACCCCCATCACAACCCCATCTCTAACCCCCACACCATCACATCCATCACCATCACACTATAACCCCCATCACCACCCCATCTCTAACCCCAACACCATCACATCCATCACCATCACACGATAACCCCCATCACAGCCCCATCTCTAACCCCAACACCATCACATTAATCATCATCACACGATAACCCCCATCACCACCCCATCTCTAACCCAACACCATCACATCCATCACCATCACACGATAACCCCCATCACAACGCCATCTCTAACCCCTACACCATCACATTAATTATCACCATCACACGATAACCCCCATCACCACCCCAACTCTTATCCCACACCATCACATTAATTATCTTCACTTGCGAATCCCCATCACCACCACCATCATCCCACCCAGTGGCGGCTCGTCAATAGAGGGCGCAGGGGCGCCGCCCCCATCAAAATTCAAGAAATAAACATATACAAAATTTATATAAAAATACATAAATAAAATATTTTTTTCATACGATGTGCCGGCTGGTAGTAAGAAAAGCATCAGCATTTAATAAAAACTGGCCTTAATCGGTCAACTATTTTCTATGTTTTTCAATGTGTTTCATGCGGGGCGCCGGACAAATGGATGTCTATGTGAGACTTTACATTTTCGGACAGCATGTGACCTGAAGCTGGTCTCTAATTGGTTTCTTAAAGATTCTGCTCGGGGCGCAAGTCGTTGCGTCCCTGGCCAATCAGAATTGGATACATGTTATTTTATCCAATCTGATTGGTTCTCGTCACCTGTCATTCAAATTTACGCTACTGCGAGTGCGCAGGCGACACCACTTTGACACTTGCTAGGCTGATCAAATTTTTTGTGTAAACAATGGCAGCAGTTCATCCAAATTCTGTAATTTATTTACAAAAAAACCCTTTCACAAGGCTTTCGCTGAAAGAAATAAAAAAGATAAAGGATCTCGGACCGGACCAACCCGATTTACAAATCCAGCAGCAGGCCAGTGACAGAGGACGAAGCTACACACGAAGCTTCACCCGCGCTTGTTATGAGAAACGGAGGTGGCTGGCTGGATGTGATGTTAGCAATTCTCTTTTTTGTTTTCCCTGTCTTTTATTTCAAAGTGTCGGCACTGAAGTTTTGTGGACAACGACGGGGGTAAGAGACCTCAAACATCTCTCTGACAAATGCAAACGTCATGAAAGTAGCCGCAGCCATATTGCTAATAGCATGAAACTAACGTTTTTATGTTCAAGTAGGAAACATGCTTTTTGGTACTTTGGTCTGAAATGTATATAAAAGAGAAACATTTATGTTCAAGTAGGAAACATGCTTTTTGGTACTTCTTTTGGTCTGAAATGTAAATAAAGATAATCAAAATTTATATTCAAGTAATCAAAATGGTTTTTGGTACTGCTTTATATTTATTTGCCCCCCTCAATAAAATAAAAAAAATGCGCCCCCCCAAAAATAAATATCACCAGCCGCCACTGATCCCACCTCTCACTTCACATCATCACACGCTAACCCCCATCACCACCATCACCCCACCTGTTATCCCTTATCATTTCACATTCATCATCATCACACGCGAACCGCCATCACCCGGCACCATCACACATTCATCATCCCCATCGCACGCGATCCCCCATCACCACCATCACCCCACACCATCATATTCACCACCATCGCATGCGACCCCCCATCACCACTACCATCACCCCACCCATCACCCCACACCATCACATTCATCATCACCATCATCGCTCGCCATCAACCATCACCCCAAACCATCACATTCATCATCATCACCATCATCGCTCGCCATCCCCCATCATCATCACCCCACCTCTCACCCCACACCATCACATCCATCATCATCATCACACGCCATCCCCCATCACCCCACACCATCACATTCATCATCATCACCATCACCGCACGCGACCCCCCATCGCCACCACCATCGCCAACCCCACGGCATCACGCACGAGCCCACGCACGCACGCGCACGCGCGCGCCCCCTGGATGTTCGTGATGAGCGGGCGGGTCCCGCGCGCGTGCGTCACGCGGAGGAGACAGAACGCGACGAGGATGAGGAACGCGACGAGGGAGCAGCAAGAGACCGATAATCTCTCACCTCATCACCCAGCGCATCACCGCATCACCATCCCATCGTCACCAGCTCACGATCCAGCACATCCGATCAACCTCGGCACCGCGTCGATGAATTGAAGTGGCCAGAGCGCTGTCTCCATCATCGCCGTCATCAATCACCTCGACGAGGAACCCAGAAACCTCGTCAGTGAGGAGGTGGCTGCTGTGACCGCAGCGGTGAAGCGAGTGAGTAATGCTTTCTTGGTATTCACCTCATCAGCACCACGACCATAATCGTCATCATCATCGCATCGTATTCACCATCAATACCATCAGTACATCATCATCATCATCATCCCACCATATTCACCATCAACACCATCAGTACATCATCATCATCATCCCACCGTATTCACCATCAACACCATCAGTACATCATCATCATCATCCCACCGTATTCACCATCAACACCATCAGTACATCATCATCATCCTCCCACCGTATTCACCATCAACACCATTAGTACATCATCATCATCATCATCCCACCGTATTCACCATCAATACCATCAGTGCATCATCATATTCATCATCGCATCGTCACCAAAGTGATCTCAATCAACATGGTTCGTACATTATATTATTCATTACAATTACTATCGTCCATCATAGTAATCAAATATCATTACCACCATCGTTACTACGATCAGCAGCACATCATTGCATCACCATCAATACATCATTACGTCATCTTTATCATCATCGTGATTACCATGATCATTACCACAATCATCATTATCATCACCACAGTAATCATAATCAGTACATCATAACATCATCATTGCTCTATCATTACAAATCATAATCATCTCCATCAGCATCAACACCATCATCAGGATTATTATCAGTGGCAGCATAACGAACATCATCATCACCAGCACGTCCAGCAAGGGCATCACCGCTGCCGATTTGTAGAGGTCATGAGCCGTGTGTGAGGTGTGTGAGTTGTGTGTGAGGTGTGTGTGTGAGTTGTGTGTGAGTTGTGTGTGTGTGTGTCAGTGTGTGTGTTTGTGTGTGAGTTGTGTGTGTGAGTTGTGGGTGTGAGTTGTGTGTGTGAGTTGTGTGTGAGTTGTGTGTGTGTGAGTTGTGTGTGTGTGTAAGTTGTGTGTGTGAGTTGTGTGTGTGAGTGTGTGTGAGTTTGTGTGAGGTGTGTGTGGGTGAGTTGTGTGTGTGAGTTGTGTGTGTGAGTTGTGTGTGTGTGTGTCAGTGTGTGTGTGAGTTTGTGTGTGAGTTGTGTGTGTGAGTTGTGTGTGTGAGTTGTGTGTGTGAGTTGTGTGTGAGTTGTGTGTGTGTGAGTTATGTGAGTTGCGTGTGTATGTGAGGTGTGTGTGTGTGAGTTGTGTGTGTGAGTTGTGTGTGAGTTGTGTGTGTATGTGAGTTGTGTGTATGAATTGTGTGTGTGAGAGTTGTGTGTGTGTGTGAGTTGTGTGTGTGTGAGTTGTGTGTGTGTGAGGTTGTGTGTGTGTGAGTGAGTTGTGTGTGTGTTGTGTGAGTTGTGTGTGAGTTGTGTGTGTGTGAGTTGTGTGAGTTGTGTGTGTGTGAGTTGTGTGTGTGTGAGTTGTGTGAGTTGTGTGTGGGTTGTCTGTGTGTGAGTTGTGTGTGTGTGTGTGAGTTGTGTGTGTGTGTGAGTTGTGTGTGTGTAGCGGTGAGTGCGCTGCGCTACGAACCCGGCGACCTCAGTTGGATTCCCGCTCACGGCCAACACCGGTGACGTTTATCTGAACCGGCTCTGGGCCACCCCTATGTCGACTCGGCCACAAATGAGTACCTGGTGCGGTCTATAAACATCGCCACTAGGGAGACAAAGGCGGCCGGTCGTGGTGCTGGCCAAGAATTCCCTCGTGTGCCGTGCCGGCCTTCATAGGTGCTGCTCGTTGACAGCACTTGCCACAACAGTCTGTTTGGGCTATACGGGGGATCTTTGTTTGAGTTGACATTCCTGCATCACCACCGCCATCATCACTATCATCATCACCAGAATCATCACCACCACCATCACCCAGACATCGACAACATCACCATCAGCAACATCATCACCAGAATCGTCACCCACCCATCTCAATACCACCACCACGAACAAAGTCACAACAACATCACCAACATCATCATCAGTGTCAATGGGGTAATCTTCTCACGTTGCCATGTCAACTGTGTTAATTACGCTAATTAACAATCCAGTCACGCTCCCAAGGCGCTCACAGCACTGCGGGGGAGGTCAGTGCCGTGCCCGACCGCCTTTGTCTTCCCAGTGCTGATGTGTGCGCGTCCGGTTTTATTCATTTCACAAACCCAGGCACTCAGTTAAGGCTGAGTCGACCTAAGGGATTACAGAACCGACTCAGATATTTGTCACCGATGTCACGAGCCGTGGACAGGAATCGAACTCGGATGGCCGGTACTGGCCCCGCTGTGGCAACGCGCTAACCACTGCGCCCACCGCTCATCCGCGCACACGTGGCCACAACCTGCCCACCAAGTGGCGGGTTGGCGTCGCCACGGTGATGGTGCCAGGCTAGGTGCACTATGGCTTTTCCAACTCGACGTGCAAGCACACACAACGCACCACAACAGCATTCCGCTCGTCGCCTACACACAGAATGTTGGGCCAAAGTGCTGTTAGCGAACACCTATTAAGGCCGCCGCCGGCACGCGAGGTGGGGGTGGGTGGTCAGCACCAGGTCCGGCCGCCTTTGTCTTCCCCAGCGGCGATGTTTTTACACACCGCTACACCAGGTACTCATTTGAGGCTGAGTCGACCAAGGGGAGACCCAGTACCGGTTCATATATTCGCCACCGGTGTTTCAGGAATCGAACTCTGGTAGATTCAGGGTTCGCAGCACGATGCGCTAACCACTGCGCCACAGCTCCCAAAAGATCCCCCATATAACCTTAATAGACTGTTGGGGCAAGTGCTGCTAGAGAGTAGCACCGATGAAGGCCGGCACCAAGGCCGTAGCCATGGAGTCAACATTGGGGGGGACCAAATCTTCCAGGGTGTCTGGGGGTCCCAACCCAGAAAAATATTTTAATTTGAAAACGAATTTCCTGCCTAAAATATTTAAAAATTCACTAACACATGGGATGGACGTTTTATTTATATTTTACAATAATGTCTAATAGTGTATCGTATTACATTGCTCTGTTTTTTCTTTTTTACCATTTTTTGTTTCATTGTCTGTAATAGCAGAGATTAGGGATTAATAAAGTACAACCATAACCACAATCATATGAACAGAAATCTATGTATTGATTTATATGAAGACAAGTCCAGATATTGTGGCCAAGGTTTAGCAATTTTTTCTTTTTATTTCCATAGCATAGCAAAAAAACTATGTATAGCAATATATTGGGGGGGACATTTTAAGCATATTTGAATATTGGGGGGGGGTGTCCCCCTCCCCCCCCCAATATATATTATAATTACGGCCTTGTCCGGCACTGTGGCACACGAGGTGGGGGTGGGTGGCCAACACCACGCCCGGCCGCAGCGCGGTGCGCTCACCACTGCGCCACCGCCCACACCTCTCGCTACACGCGGCGCACGGACGCACGGGTCCAGCCGCCAGTGCAGCCCTGCAACACTCCGTTGACTGCGAGCGGGTGAAGACTCCGATGCCATCGATGACGAGAAACCTCCCCTCCCCTCTCACGCATTTAAATCGTCGACGCGTAGAGCAAGTGGGGTGGCCCCCGCAGGTCAGGGCACACGCGCACGAGGTCGTTGTCTTTTAGTTTGAACAAATCGCATCGGGGTTTTGTTTATTTTTATTTTTTTCTAAACGTTCAAACTGACGCCCGTTAACGTTCACGCGCGACGAATGAATAATTATTATTTTGAAATAAATTGAGGACTTATTTTGTCCTTGAGTGTAATCTATGAACATTGGGCGAGATGTTGACTACCTCGCCTGGTCTGCAGGAGGTCGTGGGTTCGATCTCCACCTCGACGCCGACTGTATATTTGGAGTTTGCGGTGTCTCTCTCTCAATCTCTCATCATCATCACCACGGTGGCTAGGAGATGTTAACTACCTCGCCTGGTCTGCAGGAGGTCGTGGGTTCGATCTCCACCTCGACGCCTACTGTATATTTGGAGTTTGCGGTGTCTCTCTCTCAATCTCTCATCACCATCACCACGGTGGCTTGGAGATGTTAACTACCTCGCCTCGTCTGCAGGAGGTCGTGGGTTCGATCTCCACCTCGACGCCTGCTGTATATTTGGAGTTTGCGGTGTCTCTCAATCTCTCATCATCATCACCACGGTGGCTAGGAGATGTTAACTACCTCGCCTGGTGTGCAGGAGGTCGTGGGTTCGATCTCCACCTCGACGCCTGCTGTATATTTGGAGTTTGCGGTGTCTCTCTCTCAATCTCTCATCATCATCACCACGGTAACTAGGAGATGTTAACTACCTCGCCTGGTCTGCAGGAGGTCGTGGGTTCGATCTCCACCTCGACGCCTACTGTATATTTGGAGTTTGCGGTGTCTCTCTCTCAATCTCTCATCATCATCACCACGGTGGCTAGGAGATGTTAACTACCTCGCCTGGTATGCAGGAGGTCGTGGGTTCGATCTCCACCTCGACGCCTACTGTATATTTGGAGTTTGCGGTGTCTCTCTCTCAATCTCTCATCATCATCACCACGGTGGCTTGGAGATGTTAACTACCTCGCCTGGTATGCAGGAGGTCGTGGGTTCGATCTCCACCTCGACACCTGCTGTATATTTGGAGTTTGCGGTGTCTCTCTCTCAATCTCTCATCATCATCACCACGGTGGCTTGGATATGTTAACTACCTCGCATGGTATGCAGGAAGTCGTGGGTTCGATCCCAACCCTGACGCCTGCTGTATATTTGGGAGTTTGCGGTGTCTCTCTCTCCCCGCGGTCGCGTGGCTTTTTCTCCAAGTCATATGGCAGGAATACAACATTATTTAATATTACCGGAACATAGAAACATATTCTTTTCAAACATAGCTCTAAGAGGTTTTGGGCTTTTTTTAGGGGTAGTTTAGTCAAGGTCGTTTTACCTAACTTCATTTATAAATTAAATATCATGAGTAGAATATGAATTAATGTCCGAAACAAAGGTATAATTAACATCGCCATTGTTGTCAGGCTCAAGCTGCGTTTGCATCACCACCATCGCGGACCACCTGTAAGTCTGGGGACCAGCAGGCGGTTCAGAT